GTGACTGTCACTCAAGAACAGAGCTGGAGTTTTCCAGGAGCTGTTTGGTTGCACATGAACTCCCCAGCTCAGACTTCCAGAAGTCTTGGAACACCCACTGCTGGAAGTGTTCCAGGTCAGGTTGGATGAATCTTGGAGCAACCTGGGATAGTGGAAGGTGTCCTTGCCCATGGCAGGGGCTGGAATGAGATGAACTTTAGGGTCCCTTCCAACCCAGGCCATTCTGGGATTCTGATTGTAGCTGCCAGTTAAATTCACTTTTCCACTGAAATCCATGGAGCTGGTGCTGGCCAAAGGCTTCTCATTGAGTGATGACTTGGTGGAAACCTCCTGGAGTAGGATGAGGTCATTTTAACCAGAAGTTTGATGTTTTTATTGGGGGGGGCTTCTCTTTCTAAGTATATAAAACCCACAAATGAGCAAACCTGTAACAAACCTGTCCCATGTCTCATTTCTCCCGAGTTTGGCATGATCAGGTGTGTTTGCTGCTTTCCTTTCAAATTTAGAGTTCATTCAGAGGGTTTTTCTCTAGCAAGCAACATCTTATTTAAATGAAACTAATAAAGCAGAGCAGAAGCTTCCATTGCAACCGTTCATCTCCTAATTAAAGATTAGTTCTGTCAAGCAAGCAGTTTCTGGCTGTTCTCCCCTGTATGGGTTTCACAATATTTCTTACTCATCTGGGCACAAGTTGTAGTAATTTCTGCTTGCAAACACACACGAGCTTCGTTTCAGGCATGTGAGCAGTCCTGCTGAAGGAAATGGGACTAAAGTTAGGCACATGAATAAATATTTCCAAGGTTGAGGCCCTTGCCTGAATCTAAATATTTTTCTCTTTGATCAGCTTTCCAGATAGCAGATACTTGAATTCTGGTAATATTTTAGTAGGGGGGAGGAAAAAAACCCCAACATGGTTATCTGAATGCTGTGCTATTTATGGTCAGCTATATTTTCAACCTCCTGGGCTAGAATGGAATGCTTTGTACTGTTGGAAGCTGGGAATCCTTCCTGCTCTGGTGTGTTTTGACACATTAGGTCTTAAAACTATCTTTTTCTGCTTGGCTTCAAGGTAGTTATTAGGCACTGGCCTGTGTGTGTGTGTGTGAGCTAACTTGAAGTATGACTTTTAATCCACTGCGTTGCTACTTGTAGGTGTATTTTCCTCACTTGGCTTTACAGTAAATAGATTTTCCTAATGCACCGTGACTAAGAAGGCATACTTTTAGTAATTTGCTGAGTTTAAATGGCTTAAATTATTTGACCCAGTCTTTGGGAAAAAAAAAAAAAATAATCAAAATGTGACTTGGCTTTTAATTGTTGCCGGCATTTGGGAGAGTGGAACAACTTGTTTGAAAATGTGCTGATGTTCATCAGTTATCAGACAAAATGTCTACAGGGGTTTTTTATCGTGGAGCCTAAACTTGCCAGCTCCATTTGGAATTAAGTCTCCAGCTGTTTAACCCCACCCTGCTCTGCCCTGCTGTTTACAGTAGGAGGTGAAGTGCATTAAATATGTAATATGTGCTGCCGAACACTCTTAACGCAGTGAGGGGATTTTCAGTGTTGCTTTCAGGCTTAATCACATTTCCAAGTGAAGATAAGTGGTGCTGAAACACAAATTGTTGCTGGGTGAACTCGTGGGAGCTGCTCTGTGTTCTCTGACTGTGTTTTATCCCCTCCGCTCTTTGCTGTGGTGACACAGCGTTTGGGAAATGAGGGAGGGAAATGAGGGAGGGAAATGAGGGATGGAAATGAGGGATGGAAATGAGGGATGTCTTCAGCAAATCAAGGAATTCTGGGTGGTGTTGAGGCAGGAAAGTGGGAAAAGAGGAGGAATGTTGCACTGAGTGTGCCCAGCAGGGACCTTGAATCAGCGCTGCAGCCTCAGCTCAGCTGACTGTTCCTCCTCCAGTTTCTGGGATTTCATAACTCAGTGCCCAGGAATGATTTCAGGTCCGGGAGAGGAGTTTTTCCTGGGGGGGCTGGGGAGTTTCTCCTCCAGCCTGGCTGGACAGAGCTCATCCCCTTCCCACCCCGCTGGTTTTAGGGGATACCTGGGAAGCCAAGCAAGTGCAGGGCAAAGCCAGGAGCTCTCCCAGCCTGCACTGCCTGGGCTGACCTGCTGCCTGCCCTGCTTCCCCACCATGTCCCTGCTCCCTCCCTGCTCTGGAGGAGAAAGAAAGGCAGGAAGCTGGCGGGCGGCCAAGGGGCTCCAGAGCTTCCCGGAGCTGCTCCCGGCGCGCTGGGCTGGGGGGACACGGCCCCAGGGCCTGGGCTGGGGGCTCTTCCCAGGACACTGGGATCCTCCAGAGCCAGCTGGCTCCTGACCTCTTGTGCTGCCCAGCTGGGAGCACAGTTTTGGGCTAGGAACAGGAGGATTTGGGCTGCCACTCCTCAGGAACTTCACGTTCACCGGTAACGTCAAAGCAACGGGAAAAATTCCAATGATTTCAGCGCCCGGTTTATGTACAACAACTTCAGGGTTTCCTTCCTAAATAATTAATTAGTTGTTAAAGTTACTGGTGTCTCAAACACATCCACGTACGTGCAATTACTGTGACAGTGTTACTCAAGTGACGAGTATAGAATCTTCAGCATCCCCGTATTTGTTAATTAATACATTCAGACGTTCTCAAAATATTTTGATATCACAGAACAGCGTGCATAATGTCAACAAAAGTGCAAAATAGCTGCTTGTAAGTCACAGCTGCCTAAGAGACCGAATTAAACCTGGTTATAGTTGCTCTAGCTGATATCAGTAAGAAATAAAGACTGTAAAACGTTACAGAAAAAGTTCAACAGGACCAACAATGGAATCTCTGGTAGTAACTACACAACAAAAGATCATCCCTAAAACCTTAAACTTTGAGGGAAAAGACACTATAGCACAAAATGACTTGCTGTAATTCCTTCAAACTATCCACCAACTATCCGTGTGTTGCTGCAGGAGCAGCAGCTCTGGGGGCTGATAAGGAACACTGTGGGGATCAGGGGCTGTCACTTAAATGCTTCATTGAAATATTTGGGTAGCAGTGTTAGGATTTTTCGAATTAGATAAAAAACGTGGTGGAATTCATCTTAAGCATCTTTTGCTGCCTTTGCCTGGACTCCTTATTTTTTTTTTTTTGTTTTTCTCTTTTCTGCTTTTCTCAATGAGAGCCTTGGTTGCTGCTGTATCTGTTGGCTGTGCAGGCAGGGCTGCATTGGCCTGAGATGACTTCTGTTTTCTTTCTGTGGGGTCCAAGCTGTCTGTCTTGCACAGAATTGTTCTTTACCGGCCAAAATTCGTAAAGGGAGGACTGGATGCTAAAGAGATCTGGCTTTGCAGGTAGAGCAGAATGAGGAGAGGCTTGATTTGAATCAGAGTGGATTTCCCAGACTTCTGAGATTAAAATAGAGCTTTTTGGGGGGCGGGAGGAAAGAGGACTATCACTTCTTGTCTTCAATTAATTAACTCCTCAAACTGCTGCTTTGCCCATAGGTTATGCAATGCAGGCCCCACCAACCCCTTAATTTGGAAGCTGCTCTTGCAGTTGCACCAATTTTGATGCTGTTATCTCGGAGATGGCGAGTGTCTTGCCGGGTGTTAATTATTTTCAGGAACAGACAGACAGCATTTTAATTTCACTTGCCTAATGTGTCATCAGCTGCTCGCCTCAGAGTTGCCATATTAGTGCATGTTTGCACAGGGGATTGGCATGTGGGAGCTGGCCAGAGTTTTGGGTGGATCCACACTTAATGGCACAGCTATTATTCCAAGAGAGGGATTAAGCTGAGCACTTCTGTGCAGCCAGTTATGTTTTTCAGGTAATGAGGAGGGAGCTGGAGCAGCTCCCAACCTTTCAGCTCAGTCTGAGTTTGGAGCTGGTGTCCTTGGGGCTGTCCTGCCCTCATGTTGTGTTTTTTAATACAGACTTACCATGGGACTATTGGTCTTTACCCATTTGGTCTGTTTAAATTAAGTTAAACTTAAAATAATAATAATAATAATAATAATAATAATAAATGTCACTTATTGCCCTGGTAACCTTTGTGGTATTAGAATTATATTGTCTTGAATCTCCTCCCTCTGTCCCTCACCCCAGCACTTAGAAAACCTTTATAAATAGGAGAATGCATTAAGAATAACTATTATATATATATGGAAATTATCAACTATAAAACATCTGTAAGTCTTCATTTAGAAGAAAAAGTGGCTTACTGGGTTTTTATATATTCACACACAGCTCTAAATGCATGTACTGCTTGGTAGCTGAAGGACCTAAAAACATGAAACAAGTAGGAATGGAGTTAAATTTGTAAAAGGTTCTGAGAAAGAAAGAATTCTACTTCGTGCAAGCAGAAGTTGGTGCCTCGAGCTGGATGGCAAACACCTTGTTCTGTCCATTTTCTGCAGTAATTCAAGGGAAAAAAACCCTGATTTCATAAGTGCCACATGTTTCCCTTACTTAAAAATACATATACACCTTGTTGCTGTGGGTTTGTTGCCTTTGTTATCTGTATATATAATAACATGTGGAATAGTTGATATAATTTCAGGTTAACTTCACTCTCTTGCACTTGTCTCAAGGATGGCAAGTTCACAGAGTTCTGTGACAACAGAGATGTTAAATTTCAACATGAGCTGTGTTACTGGGAAGGAGAGTTTTCAGTTAGTTTGGACCTTTATTAGGGCACAAAAATGAAGGAATGTTAATTTTTAATGGAGGGAATTAATTGTTGTGAGAGGAAGATGATCCATGAGTATAGTGAGGACAAAGCTGCTGGATTTGAGAGCAGGCTGTTCTTAATTCTGTTTGAAACCTTAAACATATCTTTACTTAACTGAATCAGCTCTAAATGGACTAATAATTGGCTGAAGAAAAAAGAGAAAAAGATGGGTTTTCTTGTGGTGGTATCACAGAAGTGCAAAATAACTTTGTATTTAAGCATTAGTATTGGTATGAAGGATAATACTGAGAAACTTGTTCATTAAACTTGTGCTCTTTTCTTCTTTTCAGGTTTCCTCTCAAAAAACCTACGAGGTGAGTTCTTGAAATTTGACTTTTTATGTTTATTGAGTTCCTGAAATTTGACTTTTTATGTTTACTGAGTTCCTGAAATTTGACTTTTTATGTTTACTGAGTTCCTGAAATTTGACTTTTTATGTTTACTGAGTTCCTGAAATTTGACTTTTTCTCTTCATTGCAAATTATGCTGCAGCATTTTTGAGCGAGGGAGGCTTTTAAAAGGAAAAATAAAGGTGTGTGCTGACCCAGAGCACAGTACCCACTGCAGATGTGAGGAAATTAAATGTCCAGATGGGGACAAGGTGCCAAAAAGATAGTTGGTGGTGAACTTAAAGTGCATGGCATAGTGTTACATTTGCATTCTGTCACATCACTGCAGGCTCATCTTACCTGAGATTTGAGATGGTAAAGGGACACTTGAGTTGGTACATGATCTACTGGGGGGGGGAGGAATATTCTAAATCTTTAATTTTTGCATGCAAAGATGCCGAAGGTTTGCTGGGGGAGGAGGCAGAGTTCAGATTGCAGGAGGTTTTATCTGGTTTTATGTAGCCTCGTTTTTATTTTGCTTTTCAAACTGAGCGATAAAGAGAACGCACTTGCTGTTACTAATTCTGAAGGTTAGCAAGGCTGTTTCTAGAACCTTGGATACGCTCCCGAAGCCTCCGAGGGAGATCATTTTCCCACCCGAGTTCAGGCTGGGAATGAATTTTTTAAGCGAATTTAACACCTGTGTTTCAATCTCGATTTTCTCGTGAGCGGCTCAGGTTATTTCTGGGAGCCCCAGCAGCTCCTCTGTGCTCTGCTGGTGAGGATTTGTGCTTTTTCTCCTTTTTTTTTTTTTTCCCCTGACCCAGACATGGCAGCATTTTGAGCAGAGAGTCTCCAGCTGACAAGAAGCAGAAGGTCGAGCGCTGCAGCAGCACCCACGACTTCGATCCCACAGGTACGGTCCTAAAAAAAAACAACTCCAGGTGAAAACCAGCATTTCCATCTGAAAAGCACTGTGGGGAATCAGGTTTGAAAACTATTTGAGGTTTAAAAGCTATTTTAGGTTTAAAACCCCCCAGCAGAGGGGGTTTTCAGAGCCGGGTTGTGCTTTTTGGGGGCGTCGCTTTTGAACACACACTTCTAATAAATGATGAACCTGGGCTGGTGTGGCAGTAAATGGTTAGAGCTGCTCAGGGAACAATTGGAACTCGCACTTTTTCAGAAAAGTCAGCCTGAAATGTCAGGGTTAATGCTGTGATTAGCTGGGATTTAGTTGAGTGTCACACTGGGGGATGTTGTAGGCTCAGCCAGGGCTGGGTTCCCTTGTTTGGGTTTAAGTTTTGGGGGGTTTTGTTTCGTTCTTTTGGGCCTTTGTGGATTTTGATCCCTCTCTGTCACTTGCAAAGTGAATTTTTACTTTCCAACGTGCTACATTTTAAGAGCAACATCTCTTTTAAAAGGATGTGCTCCCCTATTTTTTTTTTTTTTAACCTTCCCAAAGGCTAAATTAGGGTCAGTTTGGGCAGCTTGTCCAGAACTGTCTGGGAAATGAGGGATTCTTCCCTCTCCCTGAAACCCTAACCCAGTGACTCTGTGTGTGTTCATTAAATGCATGACAGGCTCTTGTCTGAGCCTCCTGGCCCCTTGCAATGTGAATTTGTCATGTCTGTGCATTGTGCTGTCCCTGGGGCTGCTGGAAGGAAGGCAGGAGGCTTGAATGGTACAACTTGTAGGATGTGGGTTTTTTTTTTTTTTTTACACAAGACATTTGAAGCTGATGTTTATAAACCAGGCTGTTAATGGTTTCTGTCACTGGCTGCATGACTCCTTCCCAGCGTGCACAAAATAAATGTAAATGGGCTTGAAATGCCAGTTAAAAAAATCCTGGAAGGGAGAAAACCTGAATTAGTGCTTTGTCTTCTTTTCCTTAGTCCTTGGAAGTGGGTAATGTAAAATTATCTCAGGTTGGGGGAGGTCTGGGCTGTGAAGGAGGGGGAATTTATTTTCTTCAGAAACAAACTTGAGGAATCCTCTAATCTTAATTTGATGAAAGTCACTCCAATTTTGAGAGCTGTCACCTGGCTCCACTGTTATGGTGCTTGTGCCCTGGTCTGGTCAGATGAACCTGCACTGCAGCCTTCAGAGAAGGATTTTCTTTATAAGGGGTGAATTCAGGATGCTGAACTGCTGTGCCTGTGTTGATTACTTATTTTGGAGCTAAACAATACCAGAGCTTCTGTGCTTGGACTGTTTTTATCCAGAATCCTTCCTGTAGTTATTGCAGAAAACATCTTTTATTGTGTCTTAAAATTCTGTAACAAGATTCTGTGTGGTGTTACCTGTACCTTCATTATTCACCCCTTATTCCAAGTGTTCCACCTGTGTTTT